TCTCTCTTGTGTCCTTTTTCCCGTCGTACTCGCTCGGTTGGAAGATCTCTTAATCCTGTTTAACTTCTGGGATAAACCTGCTGATTTTGGTAGACGCAGTAGACAGTGGATTAGCATTGCCCTGCTGGCTGCCAGGAGAGGCATCCTGAGAGAGTGGCTGGCTCCTAATCCCCCTACCATTCAGGGATTGCGTACAGACCTCCTTAACTTACTCCACCTGGAAAAATTAGACGCAGAAATGCTATTGACAGATGATAAGAAAATTTCCTCTTTCTATGACAGGTGGTTGCCATATATCAATATAGTCTTTACTCAAGTGGAAAAATAGAAATTTCTATCTCCATTCAAATATACATCCAGTGCTATTTTTGAACAGCTGAGGGGAGCGAATTGAATTAAATCAATACCACATGATCGATGGTCATCAGCTCAGACGCTATAAGATGTCAGTGTCCAAGTGTAAACATAAGGTAGTCCGAGATTACGAATGGATAGGGGAATACTCCAAGGGATCTAAGGATAAAGGGTGAACTTGCAGGCATAGTCATCAGACCTAGCTCATTCGGTCCACGAGAACTTAGTCTTGTCAACCACAGCTCTTGATCGGGGCAGAATGTTGCCAATATGTTGTTCATCTGATGTATTGCGTTACTTATGATCAGGCCGGTTCGCTCCTTTTCTATTCTTGTTCCTATTCCACCTACTAAGGGGAAGGACAGAGGGGATAGAGTTGGAGGATATGGAGAAGGCATGGTCTACTACACATGCTTAGTCAATTTAGAGGAATCTATAACTCTGCACTCTATAAATGAATATAAATGCTTATGGTGAGATGTAACCTTTGGAGGATAACTGAATGCATTTGATTTATTGTGCCAAAGAATATGTACAATTTACTGTTAATATCTTTAACTGAAAATAAAAAAATGTTTAAAAATAAATAAATAAATACCTGTTTATCGTCCCAAAAATTTGAGTTGATAATTTCTGTACTCTTTTTCTGTGCTGGCTAATTTCAGTTGCATTGTTTTTAGTTAGCTCTGAATACTACAGAACCATGACACTCTATGTTATGGACAATAGGAGAGGGGAGGGGTTTTGTGTTTTGTGGTCCTATCATGTTTTTGTTGTCCTGATAAAGAAGGGTGAATGCAGCCACCACATCTAAGAAACACTAGTTACAATATATTACATTTCTGTGTGTTTTAGATACACTTTAATATTCTCTTGGATTAGTAAAGAAGAACAGGACATATGTATGAAATATATAGTGGCTTTATACATATATTCTTTAATTATGATGGCTAGTACTAAAAAATACAATTTCTATCAGGTCAGGTAAATATAAAATTTAAAGCATTCTTTTTTCTCACTCTTTTTGAGCCAGGAGACTGCGTTTCAGTTTACCTTGAAATAGGTTGTAATGGACACAAATAAATAGCATCCACCATTTTTATTGCCATTAACTTGAGTCAGATTCAACTTATTTCACAGTAAATTGGGATTCTTTAGGAAAAAGTGAATAGGTATCAATAAGTTTGTCCATGAGTGTACATTTACAAACTGCAAAAAAGAAACATGATTTCTAAAACAACAGCAATCACTAAAAGATTATTAACACAAATATATTATATTAAAGGAGAACTATGGGGTAAGTGTTTTTCCCCATAGTTCTCCTGAGACCCAAAGCTCAGAATACTGTGAGCTACAGCTCACGGTATACTGAGACCGCCTGCAGTCGGGACAGATCCCGACATTACTGTCGAGATCCATCTAGAGGCAGAGCCAGCTGTACCCGCTCCCCTCATAGATCTCCTTTATAGCAAGCAAAAAATATAACTAAAAAAATTAATTTCACCCAACTATAGATTTGTATTAATGTAGCCTCTAAACTATTTATTTTGGACACATTGTTCTTTTTTAAGTTTTAAAGCTAATACGAGTGTTCACTTTGGTAAAAAGTTTAGGTATGACGATGTAACAAAAATCAATTGATTTTTTTTTTCTTGTGGGCATTAAGGGGGTTATTCACAAAGCTAGCCGAAGGATCAGCCGTAGCTCCAGCTGATCCTTCTGCCAGCTACGGCCGGACCCCTTCGGTCCAACTGCTGCTGTATGGGCCATTGACTATAGCCTTACAGCTCCTGAAGACGGTGGAGCGGCTAAGCCGAGCCAAAGGCATATACTTCGGCTCGACTGAGCCGAAGTGACAGTCGAAGCGGGGCGAACTTCCCCATCTCACGGCCGGCTCCGCCCAGTTCTATATTCCAAATGACCTGAGGATGGTGAACTGTCATTAAACAATTACAACTGGGTGGAACCAGCTGTCACATCACGGCCGGCTCCGCCCAGTTATTCATTGGCCAGTACCTTCTAGAAGACTCTAAGAGGTGCCGGCCAATAGGAAACAATTGGGCGGAGCTAGCTGTCACTGCTAGCTTCACCCAATTGTTGTTTTTATTTTTTAAATCTTTATTATTTTTACATCTAATATTTATTTACAATTTTTTTCAAATTTACAATGTTTTCTTTTTATTAGCTAATGAACACTAACATGCAAAAAATAAGCACTAAATAAAAATTTCTACAGCACTATCTCTTAAAGACTAAAGGACTAAAATGTTTGTTGCCGGAGAGTTTATGAAGAATCTTGCACTACAAGAACACAAGTGTGGCTAATTACCTTGTGTCATGGCTAAAATATTAAAGGAAGTTTCCACTTTTCCCTATGTGTGGACCTCTGCTTTGGGTTCCTCTCTGCAAAGTACAAGAGGGTCATGCTTCCCAGTGCTTGAAAGCAACAGCAGGATTTACCACCTGTGGTTTATAATAGCTTCATGAACTAATGGTACCTGTGGATTGTTGTCCAAACCTGCAGGTCAGGCACCTTACAACTTTAGCAGAAACCCTGGTCAGCTGTTTTCTGGGAAAGGAAAGTCATCCAGCCATTCCTTGCTTGTTAATTTCCCAAAAAGAATGGCTCCACAGATGCCTGCAAGATAGACCAAGAAAAATGTGCTGTGTTTTGAAGATCATGGCCAGAGCCTAAATTCTATAGATAACTTGAGACCAGCTGTAGTCAGACAATGGTTTGTCATAAAAAACAACTGCTGTGCACTATACAACCCAAGGCAGTCATTTACACTTTGTAGTAACACTGTCTTCCTGATGACGGACTGTTTCCTTCATGATAAAGAGAATGATCGAAGATTTGTCATAAAGATTTGTCTTGCACAGTCAGTGGAGAAGAATCGGAGATCTGCAGAAGGTACCATATGAGAAGCTGAACAAGTGCTTCCGAGCAGCACAGAAGAACATTGACCGAGAGACAAGCCACGTCACCATGGTTGTGGCGGAACTGGAGAAGACTTTGAGCAGCTGCCCTGCTGTAGACTCTGTGGTTAGCCTGCTGGACGGGGTGGTGGAAAAACCGAGTGTCCTTAAAAGAAAGGCAGTGGAGTTGATCCAGGCAGAGGATGAGAGTGCCAAGTTGTGTAAGAGGCGGATTGAACACCTGAAGGAACACAGCAGTGACCAAGCGGCTGCTGTCAACATGTGGAAGAAGAAACTGTATGGACTGTATGATGGTGGAACATCTACTGCACTGTGGCTACTATAACACAGCCGTCAAGCTGTCAAGGCAGAGTGGTATTGAGGATTTAGTGAATATAGAAATGTTCCTTACTACAAAGGAAGTGGAGGAATCTGTGGAAAGACAAGAAACCATGACATGCCTGGCCTGGTGCCATGATATCAAATCCAGACTTAGGAAAATGAATCCAGGCATCCTGGATCCTAAGGCTGCCTGGCATACAGCGTTAGGATCGAGCAGTTCATAGAGCTGATCAGACAGAACAAAAGGCTGGATGCAGTCAGACATGCAAGAAAACACTTTAGTCAAGTAGAAGGAAGCCGGTTGGATAAAGTTCAACAAGTGATGGCGATGTTGACTTCGGCTGTTCATTCACTGTCATTCAGCCACTATGAGAATAGGGGCGAACGGCAGCGAGTGAGCTGCTGGAACTGTGGCTCAGCCGATCCAGATGTTGGATCGGCCAACTCGAACTCCTTCTGCACTTCAGCTCAGCCAAAAATGCAGAGCATGTTCGGCTGAACAAAGTGCAGCCAAACACCGCCGATGTATGGCTGATTTCAGCTGTACTGAGCCGTAGTGAATAGCTGAACAGCGTTCGGCTCACTTCACTACGGCTTTGTTATTCACTCGGCTGCCCTCGGCTGCCCTCGGCAGCTTAGTGAATAACCCTCTAAATGTTTCAGGTTTTGTTCTGCCAAGTTATAATTTTATTCATATTTACTAAAACACTAATTACTAAGATAACATATTTAATGTATTCTAAAATACTCTTAATTCTATTTATTTCAAATTATGGTATTGTTAAAATCCTTTCAAATTATTATGTACTAATAAAAAATACCTCATCAGGATTGATTACCTTTTAGTTAAAGCAGATCTAAACTTTCACAAAAGGGTTCCCCAAAATTGACGCAGCGGTGGTCAGATTGGAGAAATGCACTGCCTTACAACGCAGGCTCTCTGAAGGATTCGATGGATCGAAAAATTGAGCACAGCTTGGTGAAGACCTATACTGCCTTAGGGATGGGTCTTCATCCGGCAGTAGCCTTGTCCTCGGTGTCTTGCACGTCCAAATTGTGGTTGGAAGAGCTGGAAGAAAATATAAAAAGGGGAGCAAGCAGGCACCGGCTCCTTGATAAACTACAAGACATCAGGCTGGCAGCAGAGTTCTCCACAGAAGCCTCCGACGACCTTATACAGTGTCTGGCCAGAGGCATGGTGTCCTCGGTGGTGGCTCGTAGGGCGCTTTGGCTCAGATCATGGGGTGCTGATTCGTCCTCCAAGAATAGCCTGTGTTCCCTATCATTTCAAGGGGAGATGTTATTTGGCCAGGAATTGGATTCTTATATTAAGAAATCTATTGAGAGCAAGAAGGCCATGCTTCCATTCCAAACATGTGAATGGTCTCCATAGACTTAAAGGACGCATACTTCCACATCCCCATGGCGCCAGAACACCAGCAATTTCTCAGGTTCGGTGTCAATCGCAGGCACTATCAGTTCAGAGCAATGCCATTCGGGCTCAGCCCTTTCACAAAGGTCCTGGTTACTGTCGTTGCGGAGATTCAGAAACAAGGTATCAACATTTACCATTATCTCAACGATATTTTGATCCTAGCAACAACGAGAGAGGAGGCAGTCTTCCACAGGGATCTCACCATGAAAGTCCTGAACGACTTCGGGTGGGTGCTGAATATGCAGAAGAGCAACCTGACCCCGGCCCAGACGATGGTGTACTTAGGAGCGGAGTTCCGAACCAGCATGGGCGTGGTTCAGCTATCCAGAGACAGAGTTGCCAAGATCAAACAGAAGGTAGAATTCATCCGGGCATGCACCCAAGTCACAGCCGAAGTTTTCATGAGTCTGTTGGGATCCATGTCCTCCACCATAGGCCTAACTCGGTGGGCCCAGTAGCATATGAGAGAAGCTCAAGGTTCTTTTCTCCACCAGTACAGGTATCAGAACAAGAAACAGCAGATCGGGATATCACTCAAGGTCAGACGCTCACTAGTGTGGTGGTCCCGGGACGAGAACCTGCTCCAGGGTTTCCCATTGGGGGAGATTCCATGGATTACCATCACCACGGATGCCAGCGGACTAGACGGCCAATATTCACAAGGGATGTGGCCACTGGCATGGAGGAACAGATCTTCCAATCTGCTAGAGCTGAAAGCGGTGTTGCAAGCCCTCTGGTTTTTTCACAGCCAGCCCCAGTGCAGATGAGTCAAGGTGTTAGTGGACAATGCCACTGTGGTGGCGTATGTCAATCATCAAGTGGGCACCAGGAGCCCCAACATGATGCGGATACTGTCCCTCCTGGTGTTATGGGCTGCACGGAATCTGGAAGGCATCAGAGCATTATATCTGCCAGGGGCGCAGAATCTAGTAGCAGACTACCTCAGCAGGCATCACATAGATCCTACTGAGTGGTCTCTCTCGAAGCGGGTATTCAACGAGCTGGTGAACAAATGGGGCAGGCCACAGGTGGACCTGATGGCCTCTTCTGCGAATTGTCAGGTCAGCAGGTTTTTGTCGAGAGTTTTCAACCTACAAGCGGAGGGCCAGGATGTCCTATCACACCCATGGAACTGCACTCACGCTTATGTCTTTCCCCCATTTTCTATGATACTGTCAGTACTCCAGAGGATAGAGAGGGAACGGATGACGGTCATTGCGGTGATCCCTTATTGGCCCCGGAGACCATGGTTTCCCCTCCTCTTGTCCTTGAGTCTCCAGGAGCCATGGGGGCTCCCGATGTCGGAGGATCTTCTTTGTCAAGGGCCGGTTCGGCATCCGAATCCTCAGAACCTTCACCTGACGGCTTGGCTATTGAGAGGGAACGGCTGAAGGAATCGGGATTCTCTCAAGCAGTCGTTGACATTCTCTCACTTCTGAAATCCAGAAAGATGCATCATATTATCGGTTATGGAGTGTGTTCTCGACATGGGCTAAGGCTAACGGGGTCGACCCTGCCCACCCTCCTCCTAAGGCTATACTGGATTTTCTTCAGAGGGGCCTGGAACGGGAGCTGAGTCTCAACACGCTCAAGGTACAGGTGTCGGCCATTTCAGCTATCACCGGGGTCTGCTGGTCCCAGGATTTAAATATTGCTAGATTTTTGAAGGCGGTGGGGAAAGTTAACCCCCCCCAAGAGGCATCTCTACCCATCATGGGACCTTCCTCTGGTCCTGGATAAGCTTTCAGGTCCTCCTTTTGAACCGTTGGAAGAGATTTCAATGCAGTTTCTGTCTTACAAAGTGGTCTCCTTGGTGGCCTTGGCTTCCGGTAGGAGAGTGTCGGAGCTCCAGGCCTGCAGTTGTGTACAGCCTTTTCTTATCTTCCAGGAAGATAGAGTGGTTCTAAGGACTGTTCCGGAGTTTCTACCAAAGGTACACTCCAGCTTCCATATGAATCAAGATATAGTTTTGCCTGCTCTCGATTCACAGGGCAGGGACGGCTGTCTGGATTTGGTCCGCTGTCTCAGGATCTACATGGAACGATCCAGGGTGTGGAGAAAGTCTGAAAGACTGTTTGTCATCCCAGCAGGAGCAAGGAAAGGGCAAGCAGCAACTAAGGCTACCCTGAGCCGGTGGATTGTTTGCACCATCATTAACGCCTATCGGGCAGCAGGGTTATCTCCGCCAGAAGGAATCAGGGCTCACTCCACTCGGGCTTTGTCGTCCTCCTGGGCAGCAGCGGCAGGGGTTTCATCAGACCACATCTGCAAAGCGGCAACATGGGCTTCCAAAAATACGTTTATAAAACACTACAGATTGGATGTTAGAGCTGCAGCTAATGACCAGTTTGGCAGGAGTGAGTACATACACGTTCTGTGGACCTGTGCACACTCCAATGGTGAGTAAATGTCATGTGGTCACTACGGTGGAAGAAGCCACACTCTGTTCATTGTCATCTCTGCTTGTAATTAGAGATGAGATCAGGTTCATACAAAAGCCCAGTCCAAACCAGAGATACTCTGAATCTGAAATGAGCTCTTCCTGAACAAAGAAGGTGTCAGTAGGACAGAGATTCCATTAATGGTATTTATCTATAATTGATCTTTTCATGTAATGTGGGACTTTAATTTTAAATATATAATAATATTTTGGAAATGTACAAATATTGATTACTAGATCCTTATGATTATCATAGGCACCTCCATATTTTCCTGATGAAGCCTTGAGCGAAACATGTCGAAAACTGGACACATTATAGATCTACTCAACATTATGGATGAATTTATTTATGCAATTATATAAAAGAGATATTTAAGGAGATAAATGTTAATAATTTATTGTTATATACACAGTATGTATCTATATGTGATCCAGGGAGGTTTTGTACCATCTAATGATATCACTAATCTGTCATCTTTATTTTAATAAAGAATATATATATTTTTATACAATAAACGACTTGTATGTAATTTTGAACTGGGTCTCCTTGCATTTGAGGACACTTTCAAAGCCCCATTTCTCTATTTTTGTTGTTGTATTCTGTATACTTAGGGGTGTGGTGTCCTAGTTCATGTGGTGGTTCGCAATTTTGTGTACAAATATCTATAAATACCAATACTAATAATAATGCGATTGAGATGCATTGTCCATTCACCGGTATTAGATGTGAGGACATTGAGAGACATACCACAGCCGAAGCAGAGGGGGGAGAGGTGAGCACTCATGACCGAGGATCAGGTGAGTATATCTTCTCTATTCCAACCCCTAGACCAAAATATGCAGGTATCCCTTGCAGTGCCGAGGTAGCTGGTTATTTTTTCAAATTCCTGGAGTTCTCTTTATGTCTGTTGTTAGTGGTCACAAATTTTAATAAGCAGAGCTGTTAATGGCTATCAAAAAGGATGTGCTAAAACAATCCTTGGTATTGTATGTTGTTTTCATAACTGACCATTGTAAAGCCATTTTGGAATAGTCCAAATCCTATCTGTGTATTTCACTCTGCTGAACCAAAATCTGCACATAATTCATACATCCGGATAAGATTAAATTACTTTAATAAAGAGCATCTGCCCAAACGTAGAGAAGGATTCCAATCATATTAAGACTAAAACCCCCTATATTACAATGTGCATGGAGTTGGATTAGACACATTCCATCTCCTGGTATCAAATAAATACCATGGTTAGTCTTTTTAATGGTAATTTCATTTTTTAATAAAATATTTTAGTTATCAGCTATGGCATGTGGTCATATACAAATATGAATGCATCCATATATGTGGCCTAAGGGAGAGTCTGCTGAAATGTCATGTTCACTTTGATCCTTCTACCACACACACCTCAGATCCTTAATTTCATGTGTAATTTCTATAAATGGCATCTTTAGGGACCAGAAAATATTGCTGCATCTGCATGAGTAAGGGGCTGACCATGCACTAAAGGACTGTAACCTCAGTGGGAACAGTTAGAGATAGGGCAGTGCGTGACATTATCTTTTCATAGAAAAAGACACATGGCAACAGTCCCCTAACTATCTTTTGTTATTCTAATCTTTATTTTTTCTCAAACATGCCTGGTCTGGTAGAGTACAAAAGAATGAGCAGAGATGTTCTGACAAATGTGTTCCAAGCAAAGGAGATATAGGGGTCTATTCACTAAGCTGCTGTAGGCAGCCGAGTGAATGACCGACCTGAAGCAAAGTGAGCCGATCGCTGTTCGGCTATTCACTGTGGGACCGAGCAGAACAGAAAAATAGTTTAAAAAGTAAAAAAAATAGAAAACGATTGTGCAGAGCTAGCAATGACAGCTAGCTCCGCCCAACAGTTTTCTATTGGCTGGCGGTTCTGCTGGATTATGGGGTCTATTCACGATTCAACACGCCCTCTGCTGCAGTTCTCCATCAGGTCCCCACTAGTGATTGACAGCAGCAGGGGGCGGGTACAATAGCTAGTTTGCTATTGGCTATTGCAAATTGAAATAGCCAATAGGAATCTAGCAATGCATTCCTATGGTGACATTTTTTTTATTCTGACAAGGCTCCGTGTCAGAATAAAAAAAAAAACAAGAAAAAGCAGTGTTTCTCTCCTTGGAGGCGGGGATCGGGAGACTCCCGGAGCGCCCGGGAGAGTTAGGCTGTCTGGAGATCAGTGTCCCTGGTTAGCTGGTAACCAGGGATGCTGATCTCTCTGCAAGTGGCCGGAGCCAGCCGTAAGCTCGGCGAGCTTCGGCTTTCACCTCGGCTCAGTCGAGCCGAAGCAAATGCCTTCGGCTCTGCTGAGCCGCTCAGCCGACTTCGGGAGCTGTATGGGCTATAGTGAATAGCTCGTACAGCAGCCCTTCGGTTTAACTGAACCAAAGGGGTCCTGGGGCCAAAGCAAGCCGAAGTATCGGCCGAAGCTGCGGCTAGATGAATAGAATAGAATTGTGAATAGACCCCATAATCCACAACTTACATGAGG